GAATGGGCCATTCCGACTTATCCATTTCTTGTAAGCAAACTAGATAACATTGCAGAAATTTCCATTCAGATCTTCGTGTTTGATCCCCTACCTTATACCTATCGCAACTCCGCGAGGAGGTCCCAAGATGCAAAAAGAGCATGAACTTCTGATCAGCATGTGAAATATGTGAAATGATCCATCTAGACCGAATTCCAACCACATTAGGAATTTAGTCCTTCGACCGTAAACCTAACACTTCATAGAAAGACCCCAAAGTGCGAGTGTGATGTAGTATGTCGAGTAACCCTCTAGGCCAAGTTTGAGGAAATCCGATCCGCGACTCAAAATTTTCGCGTCCAGATACTGGAGGCCCCTGAAAATAATGCTCTTTTCGCAAGATGGGGTCTCATGGTTTCATGGAGTTACAGTATACACGGTACAAGTTCAAAGCAAAGATTTGATTTGAACTCCGTCTAGGAGTGTTATTTGGCACCTTGAACATGAATATTGCATTGGTTTCTTGAGATAGTGCCAGTTTTCAATATTTTGCGAGTGCTACTGCAGATGGCTGCAGTTGCGATTTTTGTAGAGTTATAGTGACTGCTCCAGGCGATTCAGACCTTGGGAACCCAATAAAAGACATATTTGCAAAATGATTGCGATAAAAAGCAGCACATATACCCCTCTAGACAAGTTTTCATCACTTTGAAATCTTGAGCCGTTTACCGTAACCCAACGTAATCCGAGAAAATGGTGCTATCGTGCAAATCTGAAATGATGTTCATGGCATAAGAATTAACCCCTCTGGACAAAATTTCAAACAAACCCCTGTTCTTGACACCCCCCTCCCCCCACCGTGCACCATGCTAACCACACACAAAAAGGTTTTCCTGTGGAGTGTGATATCTATTACCAGCATGTCATGCCAGATACCCTCGCCCCCTGGGCCGAGTTTTTCAGGCAAGTGAGAAATTGGCGTTGTTCTGGCATTGCGCTCTGTTGAAACCCGGCAATTGTAGTGTCGTCCTGTTACCGGATATCCTACTTTTGCTCCTCTTTCCCTTTCAGCACTATTGATATCTCTAAACGATTGAGCAATCAAATTTAAAAAATTTCAAAAACATATGGCAAACAACAAAACAAACAATTTAATTTTGAAAACAATTTGTATTATCGTACGAAATTAAGGCCTGATTAATGTATGGACTATTGCTAGTATGTTTTTTCACAGAATTATTCTAAGTAGCTAGCGACACTTCAGTATCGCGAGCAACTGCAAAATTGCGAATTTTGAATTGTCTTTTTGAGGCTCGATTCTACGAGATTAGTTAAAAAATAGCACATGAGTGGCTATCTAAAATGCAAATCTTCTTTTATTTCTAAGTACAAATTATGAACTTAGTTTGGTTGATAATCTGAGTAGTCTTACTAGGTTTGCATAGGAGTTTTTGCATCAATGTGCGATCTGGAAGCGTTTAAGTTTGCTAGCGATTATCTCGGTCAAATAACCACCTTCCATAACATAGCGTTTCTATGAATTGAGCACTTATTTAGACCCATAAGAGCATAAAATTTCTCCACCCTTTTGTTACCTCAAAATAGGCTAAGAAACACAATTTCAAAAATTCGCAGTCAAAAATGTGCAAAAAGTTCAAAAATTGGCTTGGTCGCAGCTCACAATGGTGCTGGGAGTAAAGGGGCTTTCATGACCATTTAAAATAGAGGAAATTTCATTTTGATCTATTCTAAATGGATTTTTCGCATAAGCCTTTCGCAAACGAGAGCTCAGGTAGGGTTGAATCATTTTTATTACACCGCTTTGTTTTGGATAAAACGAGCGAAAGGCAGATTCCAACCAATTTTCACCGCGATCGAATAAAATGGGGCTTGAGAGTCCATTTCTCTTCATTATGCTTTCGTGAATATCATTCCAGAAATCAGAGACGTATGCGAAGAATTTTTTGAATGCGGTGATAAAATTGCATGTAGTCTGTTTACAAAAATCCTAAGAATCATTTAATTTAGTGAAAAATTTATGCTGTCTAATTACAAAAAAATATGAACGTCTAGGGGTTGTACCTTGGTAGAAAAGGGGGAATGGCAGATGCTAAACACGTTTCTGCCTCCTCCACAGGAATGGTTTCTTTATCATGAGTATTATCAGCGCGCTTCTAGATGTGCTTGGAAAATCTCTCGCAAAGAAACTTTGTTCCGTTATTTGAAAAACGACACTCCACTCTTACGTAATTCCAATAAATACTTGTATCTGCAAAATTACAAACAGCTCCTCGCTCCACCCGCTCAAAGCGAACTAGGCATTACTGTTAAAGAGTGTGTCAAAGAGTTGTTAAGAACGATTATACTGCTTTCTCGACTTTCTTAACCGAGACAGAGGCCGTAAGATGTGCATGTATTATCCGCTTTGATCGCAATCCCTCTTAAGCCTCCAGCGTCCCATTTCTGGTAGTTGATCAAAATTTAAATTATGTTTGGTAATACAAAGATTATGAACCAATATTAGTGGGTTCACATCTCCTTGGCTGAACTTGCAAACCCTTCGCTGTCCAAAAGTTTTTTTTTTTGATCATAAGAGTGTTAATCTATCGCGAACAATACTTCTGCTTTCTTGAAACCAGAACACGGCGATAGTTTACGAGGCATCGCCAACGTATACTTCTTCCTTATTTATCTTGAGCGTGTTCTAAAATCGCAATCCTAGAGTAAAATGCCGAATCAAAATTTGATTGATACTTGCTTGAATTCACCCGATATGCGAAGCCTTTAATGTCTTTTTTGCAGCAGCCAAGTGATTTAAAACTGTTTGTATATGATTAACGTACTTAAGATATATTGCTGCTTGAAGGCAGCGTCCAGGCAAATCTGGACACATGGGGATCTCACGTGGATAGTAATTTTAGGGCCTTAATTAAGCCACTGCTTAACCGGACCTTCATGTAGTGCTCTAACGGCTGTGAATTTCCCTTCGAAACTGGACCGTATTTCGCATGGATTCATGGCGCAACGCGTGGGTTCTCGCGCGAAACTGGTGTTTCGCGCCATGAATCCGTGCGAAATACGATCCTGGGGTCCAGTTTGGAGCCGTATATCTCAGCCGTTAATGAGTCACCTCCGCTGCCGACTGGGTAGCGCCTTATAAGGGCCCCAAAATTAATTTCCACGTAAAATCTTTGCAAAAGTTATCGTTCGCTGTCAGTGGCGTACCCAGGATTTCGGCTCCGGGGGGGGGCTTCTCAAAATTTTTGCGGGCCCCCAACCGCCCTCGAAAAAAATTTTTTATAAGGCTAATTTGAATTTTTAAAAAATCTTGTAGCTTACGTAATAACCAACTCAATGGCAAAATTTGAGTGCGCCATGTTGAGTGAGAGGGAAGTTATGAGAAAAGTTGCAAAACTTAGTGTTCAACCTAATAATTGTGCAATTTTTGAATAAGCCTTGTTTTGCCTGTCTCATCATATATCTGCCCTCCATCCTTACTTGAAGCTGATGGTGGTCGTGCCTGGGGTCTCGCACGGCTGCCTAGCGTGTGTTTTGCACCTTTTTGGTGAGCATACTTTCTAATCATTTTAATCGGCCCTTTTTACGCCCAGTTGTGGAAAGATAATCAAAGGACATGCCCACGAGATGGGTACAAAGCTTAGGCGAAGCGATCACGCGGGACTTACGGGGGAAGGATACTTGGATGCCGTAGCCATTCATAATGATTTGTATACCAAAAAATGCGCTTTTGAATGCTGGTTCGTAAACTCTCTTTCATATTTGCGAAACGATATCTGAATGGAGTTATGATTTTTTTTCATAAAAAAATTGCGTTCCTGCGAAGGGTCAAAATCATCAATAAAAAAATTTTCTCTTCTTTCCAAATGCTGAGTATGATCCAGATAGTCTAAATAAATATTACTACGTCTAAAATTTTTTTCAGTAGCATCAAACGGCAGGCTGGAATTAAATCTGGTGATTTTTACTATCCAAAAGTAGGCTAAATTTTCAAGGAAAAAAGTTCATAACTTTCTTCAAAAGATCGTTTCGCAGATTTCGAGCACAGATTCAGAATCTGCATTCGAAGGCGCATTTTTTGGTATACAAATCATTAGAAATGGCCGCGGCATCCAAGTATCCTTCCCTTGTTAGACGCACGAGCCCCATGACTTCTGGAGAAACAGAGGATAAGTTTCTTTTTTCATAAAATATATTTTGATATCCAGTTTTTATCAAATACTAGCTGGCGTTTTGTTTCCCGAGTCAGTGACGCCGTAAATGGGTTTTAGAGAACGAAATGCTGTTCACCGCGATCCTCTTAGCCTCCAGCTTTCCTTCTTCTACTGCAGTTTAGTAGAAGAAGAAAGGAAGACCACTGCGCTGCAAGCGTTCATGGTCAGAATAGGCTGGAATAGGCTCACCTGCTACATAACGTCTTGTTTAACCGCATCCTTCGCAAAAGCAAAATGAGCTCTACCGCCAATGTTCATGCAAAAGTGAGAAGTTGTTTAATAGCAAATGAAGATATTCCTTCATTATATTTTTCAAAAATCTAAAATTTGATGTGAGGACCCAGCCCAGCAAGTCGCCGCAAAAGGTAATCTGGAGTCTCCATCGAGGTTGAAAACATATGGTTAAAAGATTTAGCTCGAATGGCAGGTGTACCTAGATCAATCAGAATATTACAGAGATCGATTCATGCTAGAATGCCAAGGGCACGCCGCCGGCATGCTTAGTCTTTACTCCACTGTTCACTAGCATGCCGCCTTCTGCCACTCGCATGCCGAAGGCATGTCCGGTATGTCGCCCGACATGTTGGTGCTAACGCAGCGCCGAAATATGAATTTTGCCCCAAACAAACGAAACCCTCAACTTCTCAGTTGATCGTTTGTAAAACTTGTAGCAGTTTTTTGCAGATTTGTTTACGTTAACATTGGGAGGCCAAAAGCTGACGTACTAATGCATGTTTCAAAAGCGCGGGTTAGCAAGTATATCGACTGCATGGCATAACCTACGCATGCATGATAACGTGATTTTTATTCAAAGAACACTACAAACTTCGATGTCCTCAATCTTCAGTCTTGTTTAATCTTCGGCATTATACCTGATTTGCAGTTTACGATACACTTGAACCTGTCCTGTATCTTCTCATGAAGTTTCCAGCACAAAGCTTTGCACTGAAAAGAATACGAGAGTTTGTCGATATTTTCCTCTTGCGATTAAGCTCAACGCTCGTACCTCAGCGAAGCTTAGTCTTGGCTTTTCACTTGTACTTCGACCGCTAAGACTTCTACTACGGCCTGGGCTTGAACCACGGCCATCAATAGTATTGAAACTTAGCAGAAGTATGAGGAAAGCGATTGGCCACATATGCAACGAAATCCTAAAAGAAAGCATGTTGTGCTCACAGAACTCATGAGTCAGTTCGCTTTGTATGGTGCTGACCAAAGCTATTTGTTTTTACGCATGTTAGAAAACTAATGTGTAAATAAAAGTCTGATTATTTTCTCTTCGCATCAATTTAATTCATACAATAAAGAGGTTCCACCAAGCTAGGGTCAAACGGCTCTACTCGGGGTCATATTGGGATGAGTGGACGGAGTCGATATCGTAGTTAACAGTAGGATGCAGATTTTTTCGAAAGGATGAGAAAATACCATCGCGCACTCAGACTTTGATAGTAGGTAGAGCGGAACGTTAGTCAAAATATCCCAAAACTATTTTGAATTTTGAAAACGAAGTTGCATGCATTTTTCGAAAACTACTGAATTTTGAGAATTTTCGGAGTTATAAGCCACCTGCACAACCTGCACCCAAATGTGCACAAACGTATTAACAGATTTTCTGTTTTATACAGAATGTCCCAAAAAATATATCCACTGTTTGATTGTTAATAACTCTCTTATTATGGGGTCTTTCGAGAAGAGGTAAGCGCCATTTTGTAGAGCTGGTTTCAACTTAGATTTGCAGTATAGAGCGAATCACCGACCGCTCTTCATTACTGTAAGATTACGGTAGGAACTTGAAACATATGGTGTCAATGTGGAAAAAGCTGCCATTTCAAAACTTTTCAAAAAAGTGTGAAAACTTGTGTAATAGGGTTTTTATAGACACTGAGTTCAACATTCAACTATTCACAAGATTGCGGAGCTTTCTAAACGGTGTAACCGCACTTTTTAGGAACACTGAAAAAATGGCCGCTACCTCTTACCTGGCAAAACTCTTCAATGAAGCGTCATAATAAGTTAGAAACTTTACAGTTAGAATCAGCAACTCTGGTTGGCCTAGTGTAAAAGTTTTCAAGCTGTTTTGATTCCTTTCTGAGGCAAAATATGGTCTTTCATGGCCTAAAACCTTCTTTCAAGTTTCTACCGTAATCCTACGGTAAGGAAGAAAGATGGACGATTCGCTCTATACTTTAAATCTAATGAAGCCAGCTCTACAAAATGGCGCTTACCGCTTCTCGAAAGACCTCATAATAAGAGAGTTATTAGCAATCAAACAGTGGATACATTTTTTGGGACACCCTGTATATATAGAGATTTAAAGCCGCTCGCAGCCTAGACCATGCGCAGTAATCCGGAATCGTGTAAAAAGTGTTGCTAGAAGTTGACCCATTCGGCTCACTGAGAAAGAAATAAAATTTGGGGGCAAGTCGAGTCTTCACAAATTTGAGCGAGTCGTCGTACGCAAGGCTGCAGGGGACAACCTTCCATGACTAAAGAGTCAAAGCACAAATTCCTCGAGCCTTTACATACGGAGGTTCTTTGGCCTGCTAAACGCGAATATCATATTCATTTGTTGAATCAACGCCTCTATGCTTGTTTAGGGTGAAACTCCATCGTACGCCTGCAGTAGTCTTACAAAAAAGCACTTACCACGCAACTTTTGTATCGTCTTGGTGATTAGCATGTTGGATAACTCCCCTGTGCCAAGTTTCAGCCAAATCTGTCGAACTTTATAATTTTTTCCCTTGTACCATATACTTACCGTTACCCTCAGTGCGACGTCGAAATTTTGTAGAACAGTAGCTGCGTTTGTAGCATACGTCATCACCAACAATGTGACAAAATTTGAGTGCGCCATGTTGAGTGAGGGGAAAGTTATTGAATAAGTTGCAAAATTTAGTTTCCTACCTAATATCTATCCTTAATCGCTTTTTTTCGCGATTTACATAACGCAGACTAGGAATGCTACCGTAACCTAATATTTTCGCAGCATTTCCATTTGCACAGGAAAGGAAAAACGACTATATCTTTCCCTAAAAGTAACGATCTCAAATAAATTTTTTACTATTAAGAAAGAAGATTGAGCAATAGCAACGATATAAAAAATGCAGAAATTTGAATGTTTGAAGGTAAGTTAAAGGGGTGTGGCAGAACCCCTAAAAAGCTGTTGCCGCCACAGCTTCTTAGGGGTTATGCCACACCCCTTTGATTTACATGCAAAGGGAATTTTAGGAAACAAATCAGGCACAAATAGCAAAAATCTCGTAGTTTGTGTAGAAGTGATTAGAGCTCAATTCGTCTTCTTTCATTTGAGCAATAGTTGCTGGGAGCACAACCACTGCAAGCGAAAAACAGGACGAACGAGATTTTGGCTGGCTCCTTGTTCCATAGTTTAATGGTAATTTTGAGCAGGATTCATGGCATAGGCAAATAGGGAGTAGTGCTCTCTACTGAGTACAAGAAGAGGTAGCTAATTCGCTTTTGGAATATAGATAGCCTTGTTTGCAAATGACCAATCTACTTGGGTGACCCAATATTGGGAAACCCCAAAATCCGCTAAAACTTGGCCCACAGGGATTATCTGACGTGATAATCACAAATATGTTACTAATTATTTCAGGTAAAGTCCTTATGTCATCCCCACGGTAGGCAAACGAAAACGAAGGGGGGGGGGGGTATCGAGGCACTTAGGAGGGTGGGGGAGGGGGAGGGTGGAAAGGGAATCGTATTCGACGGTTGTGTGCTACACCTCTTGCTCAACCCTGGTAATGAGCAACGCCATGCAAAGATTTAGCAACTTCAAAATTCTTAAACCGCCATCGTACACCTACCGCCGTACCCTCAAAAAGGAGCCTCTACCATCCAAATCGTGCGCTTTTCAGAGTCAGCAAACAAACTGTTTATGCACTCGAAACGTAATCATATCGCAGGCAAATAATTGTTTGAAAGTGCTGCCGAAATTGCGACCATCGCATTCTTCAAGGTGCTTTCAATTTATGAATCAGTACAAGACGAGAACAGGGCAAAATAGTCAAAAACACCTAATGGAGAATCTGCATGGCGCTAGTAAATAAGGTAGAACCTAAAAATTTTCATCTGAGAGTCGATACGTTAGGCAAACCCTCAGAGATTAACTCAGCCATTCCAAACAAGTTGTATACCATCAGACTCGTCTTAAGACGCTGATTCAAATATATGTTCAAATATATCGTTCAATATTATAATTTTCAATATATCAAACAGCTTCCAACTTTCCTGTACACAATAGCGCTGGAACTCATTGTCATTCCACGATCAGGTAGGGCAGTGAAAGCGATGTGATTCAGGGAGTATTGGCTCTGCGTTACAGGAGTAAAAGAAAACGGAAACGCAGATAAGTTGAGTCTTTTGGAGGAGCAACAAATTTGTTCTTTGTTGAGCCGCTCAAAAACACGGTGCGGTCGAAGCCGGGCATGTCAGCTAGTAAACTTATATTTAAGATCAGCGTTTTAAGGCAAGTCGAATGATATACAGCATGTTTGGAATGACTAGATTGAGTGTGATCATCTCCTATCAAGTTTCTGAACAGCCCATTTTGTTTGCTTACATCTGGAGTGGTATGTATTAATTTCTCGTTTGGTTAGGTGTTTCCGAACAAGTCCGTAATCCACTTAGACGCAAGCGCTCACGCCCATAATGCGGGAACGTGGGCGCCCGACGTGCAAGTGCCCGGTCAGGCAGAATCGGGTAGGTCTGCAAGGACTGGTTATCAACCCGTTCTTGCTTGACTATAATCTGTGTAAAATGGCGCGTCTCTAGGATTAGATCGCCGAAAATGGTAGTAAATCGAACGCCTTCACTAATAAGCGAGTAAGAATTGAAATTTTTATGCAAGAGATTTGTTCGATTCGAAATTTTATATGATTTATTGTGAAATTTGCATAAATTTCAGAGCCCGCTCTATCCAGTCCGGGCTCTGCACCCCTTGATCTCGTACCAAATCAAACCCTCAAATCAGACAAATCTCTTGCATTAAAACAATTTCCATAAATCAGACAAATCTCTTGCATTAAAACAATTTCCATATCTTGCTCGCTGATTGGTAAATGAATTGTACGTACTAATGTTTTTGGCCACCCAATGATAGAGACCGCTATAACAGTTTGTAGTCAGGCGAGATTGAGCAGATGACCAAATGTTGCAGACTTACCCGATTCTACCTGACAGGGCTCTTGCACGGTCACGTTCACGCATCATGGTGGGTGCTGACGCTTACGACCTGTTCGGGAATGCCTATCCGAACTGGAGATTGATGCAGATTGATGCATACGGCTCAGGTTGTTTGACTATATCGAACAAAATCCCAGGTGATATCAATCGCAATTCAATCGCTGCGATTGTGAGTCAGCAAGTGTTATGATAGACGTTTGCCTAGTGGAAACAAAGACAGATACAAGAATAGTGATCCTTTTTTGTATAAGCTAAACGTACATATGGAGATCGAACAGCAAAGCAAGTGCTCCACTCAAAATTCTCAAGTTTGCCGTTAAGACTAGCTAATGCACTACTAGCTACCTTTAATGCACTACTAGGCACTTCTGAAACATTAAATGAGGCCGATGGAATAAAAAGGCCACAATTCTAAAAGCTTGGAACAAGTTTGAAAGTATTTCTTATTGAGGTTTTGAAACGCACAAGCAAGTGCTAAGCGACGAAAGATCTACTGAATTGTTTCTAGGTGTTATTTGCGCTTGCAGTGTTATATACTCTGATGAGTTTAGAACGGAAAAGAGCGTTTCTTGGCAAATGCAGAATGCTGAAGATTTTTGCTGTTCGGTGCTCGTTTCTATCAAACAATCTGTTGATGTAATGCCACTTTGAGAAAATATTACAATCTTGTAAAAATCTATGCGTATAAATGTGAGCATGTGGCCACTATGGTAGTCAGCTCATTGCTCTATAGAAAGAGTCTCCTTTGGCCTGCACTCACAATTCTGTCAGTCAGTAAATACCCGCTAGCCAACGTCAGTTTGCCTTGTACCCGTTCTAATGCGCCTTTTTTACAAAGAAACACTACGCTCCCCTGTACAGTATCTCATTGTTAGTGAGGCTCATTTCAATTTTTGATTGCGAAAGATCGATAGGCCACTTTCAAACATCAACGTTCCATCAAGAG